ATTGCCTCTGGGCCAAAACGCCACTACTAACCAATAGTTAATAATGAAAATAGTCTATAACTAAGGAACATTTTATTGCAAAAGTCCAACTTTATTATCAAATACAAATACAGTGAACCCTCGTTTATCGCGAAAAAAAAAATCAAAATGCTCTCTGGTATTGTTCAGGGGGCCGGACCAAATGTGGAGGCAGGCCATATCCGGCCCACGGGCCGTAGTTTGGGGACCACTGTTTTAGACGGACAGGACAAGATTAAATTTGAACAGTAATTGATCATGAAAATGAGTCGCCATTACATACATATAGACACACGTAAAATGTTCAGCCAAACAGCTGGAAACAACACCATCCATGCCCCACTGACGTCCATCAGTCAGGTGTCAGCCTGGTAATTGTTAGAGCTCTGACAGCTGACTGGGCCAAATATGAAATGCGTGTGTGAGCCACTGATAAATGAAGGGAACTTTTCGTTCACAACGCGGCCACCTTGCTCTGTCCGTACCCCCAGATTGTTGACGGAAACGTTTTGCGGGGATGTAACAAAGTATTGTGTGTTCAGACAGGGAGCAGGAAAACAGGCGGTTGCCAGAAGAAACAGCGAGTTGCCGGTTTATGCAGCGGCTCGTAAGCAGGTCAGCCATGAAGGAGAAATGACACATGCTGTCATTCATCTGCCCATCACTCTGTGTTTCGGTGCCTGACTTGCTTTAAAATTTAATTGCCCGTATTGAATGAGAGTGCAGAGCCTAACAGTCTTCAGTAACGTCTAGATATAATAGAACAAATTCAACTTTGTTTGATCAGACACATAACATTCCCTTGGTGCTGCCTTACAAGTCATTTAATGCACTCATGTCTACTTAAACATGGCCCTGACTGCAGATTAACTTTTATCTTCCCCAAAATTCTCCCGATGGAGCACAACACCAAAGCTCTGACCTGATGTTTCCTCCATCAGAACATATTTTTGACAGCTGTGTATTCTGTAATCACATATTAAGCCCACATTCCATGTTACCAAAATGTCAGAGCCTGCCCTTTCAAGCCTCGGCTCAACACGACCAACTCTCACTGCTTTTCCTTCAAAGATGAAATGAACAGTCCAAACCAAGTCCAGAGGCACAGGGCTGTGCTCCATCATGCAGCAGATTTTTTCCACTTTTTTTATCATTATATAATAAGAATTGTAAGGTGGAGGACTGGGAAGGTAAACAAACTTAAAAGCACTAAGATATCGATACTCAGATACAAATCTCCTCAAGGTCCTCGAGACATTTTCACAAGTCTAAGGTTCAGAAGAGCCATAGATTTGTCACAATTAAGACAAAATATCTTCAATATTTCATTAAAAGCCAAACAAAACCAGAGTTATATTTGAAGTGACAACAGAACAGAGAGTATGAGGTTAGAAACCTCATGATCTCTCTATACTTCAGCAGCTCAACACATTAAATTAACAACTCATACAAGGACATCCTAATACCAGGGCCACAGTGATTGAGTGGTTCCAGGATTAGCCTTGTGATCGCAGGGGTGTTGGTTTAAATCTAATCATCAAATGTTCAATAATCTGATTTGTGTAATCTCTTTTTAACATGTACATCTAACTTTTCTTTTTTGGAGGAGCAGATGTAACAGCAACCATTTCCTAGGATTAAACAAGTTGTTTTCTGATTTTGACTCACTGTTACTCAGACAGGTCAAATGAGGAGGAGGTGCACAATAACATGGAACTATTCTTCTAAATGCAGATATTTCACCCACATGCCAGGTATTTCTATTCTAGTCTAGAATAACAAAAAGAAAAACAAGGTAATTAACTGGCTACAGTTAGCGTACCGGTTAAACCCCAACTAACAACAACCACCTGCATTATTAGTGTCTTACAAAACAACTCATTTGCGCCTCATTCTGACAGCTCTGACAATCTTCAGCTTCCACTTATGTGTGCATTTCTGTGAAAGTCCCCAGCAGCTGCCAAATGAACAAAAGGCCAGCCACTTTGAGTCACAGCAGCATGTGGGAGTCTGCGGGAGTAGCCTTTTAATTATTAACACTCACACACATGTTGAGATTTCACCTCTTAATTACGTCTCACACACGCCGTGGACTGGTCTGACACCGACGCTCCCACTGACAACTAGACTTTCTAGGGCTAAGAGAATTCTCTTGAACTGCAGCGTTGCCACAGCCAAAGAGAATACACCAGAGTGAGCTGAGTAGTTTTCCGCCGTTATTTCAACTTTCCTTCAGCTTGTCACATCCACTTCTCCTCTACCCTTAGGTTTCAATATTCTCTACCATGGCCACAGACAGCGCGCTGCATCAAATTCATCTTCTCTGACAGATTTGTCCTGTTGGATGTGGGCAGAAAATCGTATACCCTTGTGCTCTGCTTCTGAGTGAGACGGTTTACAATTAGAGAGAAAACAAAAAAAAAGAAAGGCTGTGTGATGACTTCACTGCAGCTTCTGGCAAATTGCAACAAGAAAAAAAAGTTGTGGTCACGAGGAAGAGAAGTTTAACCAACATCTCTGAAGGTTTAAAATGAGACTCCCAGCTTCTCTGCTTTACCTTTAATTCACACACACAAAAACACTCACAGTGTTAACAGATCTAAATAAGCATGCACAAGTCATATAGTGAATCTAGACTGACTTTTTGCAGGTTTAATTTGTTATTTCATTCATTCATCTTCTTGCATTTAATCCTTTTTGGAGTCGAGAGAGCAGCTGGACCTGGAGTCAACCCCAGCAAACCCACCAATCTATCACAGGGCCACATACAGAGACCATTTCATTCACACCAGTGGTCAATAAACAGTTAACAATTAGCCTCATTAACCTAATCAACCAGAGAATGCACTTGGGAAAAACACACGAAACTCATATTGGCAGAATATCAGTTCAGCACCAGCACTCTTACAGGCGATGTTTTGGCTGTAGGGCAACAGCACAAACCACTTTTCCACTGTGTGGCCCTTGAGCTCTTTAGCATAAAATAATACAAATAAAAGTAAAGGACATTATTATACAACTGTATCTTATATATTCTCTAATGTCCATCCATCCATCCATTTTCATCCGCTTATCCGTTACCGGGTCGCGGGGGCAGCAGTCTCCATGACTGCCACCCAAGTCACACTGCACCGTACCAACCCCCCTGAACCTTCCTGCAGGTGGTGAGTCCACTGGAAGGTACCAACTGCCCTAACCGGGATTCGAACTTGCCCAGGACCAATGACAGAGACATTGCTTCTGGGCCAAAGCGCCACTATATAACATGTCTTCCTTGTTTAATCTTATCATATCTTCTTATTCTGCTCAGTTTGAAAGATGAATGAAGGAACAAAACAACTGAAACTACCACCATAAAGTCATGGGATCAAACTAGCACGGCATTGATCATTTAGTACAGTGTTTCCTAAACTTTCTTTCTGGGGACCCATATTTTAAAAGTCACAAAACTTCGCGACCCAAGTCAATAGACATTATTCGTAAACTCCTGGGAAACATGATGCGAGACGACCCCCAAAAAAACAAACTCTTATGACCCACCTGGGGGTCGTGACCCAGTCTTTGGGAAACAATGATTTAGTAGGGCAAGAGCACTGCCCACTTTACGCTTTAAAGGTTCAAAGCTGAACTTTATACTTCAGATACCTTTGGATTCCAGCATCTGCTTTACCTTCAATCCCTACAGTTCTCACAGACCAAATAAAGCCCCCCCACACTGGCAGGACACTTACCCCAATTGGGGTGAAAAACATTTCGGTTTTACTGTACAATAAACGTGCCACAGCTTACTTTAACTGAACTTGCTCCTTCATTTCCCCCTCTTGTGTTATGAGGGGGGATGCCATTGCTTTAAATACTTTGTTAATACATAGGTACACATGAGAGTACTTACGCACTAGCCCAGATGGCGGACCCTCTAATTTGAAATCCAAGGGTATAATTAAGAGACAAAAAAATTAAAAAGAAAAGCATGGGTATTTGCTGCTTAGACATGAAACGCAGCACAAATTACAGTAAGTACATGCTGGGTCGGTGTGGTCTATTAGATATTTACATTTCTGGACAATGTTCTCCGCAGGGACAGCTGAGGAGCTCTGGATGTAACTTTGAAGTCACTCGCACAGACACACACTGACACATCCGTGCGTAATCGTTCGATCTGGATGGAAAATTAAACTGGATGATATCATATGATTGAGCTGGTAGTTTCGGCTGTGTTTCAGGGGATTGGCGGAGGCCACGGAGACAATAGGCCACTAAAGCTGCAGAGAATGTGAGTATGAAACATCAGTTTCTACAAAAAAAGTGTTGAAAACTCGGGTTTTTCGTAAAGTCATACAGAACAGAAACACGGACCAGGGCTGGCAGCGCTGCACGCGTTTACGAGCCGTGCGTAAAAGCTCCTGTTTTCGATTAAAATCTCATCCTTCTCTGTGACCGCTCTCAATGTGACTTTGAGGACATCGTGCCAAACACCCACGCTGATTTGTAACCTTCCTTCCAGATGTATATCGTCTCATAACATCAACTTTGTTATCTCGGTTATCTTTGGACACGCTATTTTGATTGGATGTGTTTACACAGTAGGCGTGTGGAGGTAAGAGAAGTATCTGATCGTACCAGTATCTCAGAGTGAGTTAATGAGCAATTAACACAACACCTCCCCTGGCTTTTCGGCTTTGGACGCACTCCGAAAACTCGCAAACTCGAGGCAGCGTGTAAGTTCGGAGGAAGAAGAGAAAAAAGATCACGCGTAGTAAGACTTGAACCAAGACCGTGAACTATGAATAGAGACTCCCACGGGACTGTAATCATTCAAAACAAACTAAAATACGTCAGAGCAGAGTTCGTGTGAGTTTGTGTAATTCAGCTAATGTGGTTTAAAAGGCTGGAAGTTGACTTTGGAGACGCTTCCCACGACGCGCATTCGACCTCGGAACGCATTCCCGGAGGAACAGACGGAACAGAAAAGTTTTTCTTACCGGTGTCGAAATAACTCAGGGCTGCAGAAGAAATAAAACCAATGAGAAGGAAAGAAGCGGCGACTGTCCAGGAATCCATGGTGTGATTAGAGAGTGGAGTGAGCCTCAGGTGAAGCGCAGTCTGACGGTGCGGATGCGCAGACCGGCGGAGTAAAGAGCCGGACTCTCTCTGACTCAGAGACGGTCCGGGTCTGCGCACCAGAGACTTGTGGGCCCACGTTATAAAAAGCCACTGAACTTCAAAACAGGTCTCCACTGCCACTGCTAGACTGACACTCCAAAGACACGACCAGATAGTAGAAAGCAGGGATCCTGTTTCCGACCCATGTGACAGGAAATAGGGGCAAGAATCAACCTGCAGCGCTGGTGAAGCAGCCAAACGAACAGAGGGAGGGATGGAAGGAGGGAGGGAGGCAGGGAGGGAGGCAGTGTTGGGGATGTAGGAAATACTTAACTGTATTTAAATAAAAAATATTATCAAAAATAAAAAATAAAAAAAATATTATCACTGAGGAAGCGAAAGTAGAACCGCGATAAATAGAGGGACCACTGTAACGTGAAAGTTATCACGTAATTACGTGAAACTTATTACGAAATAACGTGAAACTTATTACGAAATACATACTAATAATAATGGATTATACGTCATGAAAGAAAAAAAGAGCCTAGGGGCATACGCACAGGGAGCACAACTGCCTGTGCTTAACCTAAAGTTTCTCGTGCTCACGAGATACGTTTCTTTCTTTTTTTCCCCCCATGTCCCTTTAGGGGCTCCGTAACAGAAAATGTGCTTTAGGGATGGTGATAGAAAGATGTACAAATGTTGAACCAGTTGTTGAGATGAGTCTATTCTGGAATCTTTGCTTAGGGCTTTCTGTGGCACTTTGTATCACTAAATATTTCCTTTTTAACCCACGTCAGTAAGTTAGTCAATAAGTAAACAGGTTATTCTATGACTTTTCCTAACTGGCTGCTCTTCATTCAACTCTTCTTGTTTTGATCACAGCACAACAAAACAGGTGCAACACCTTCAGACCACTGCTTCTCACCTTTACAACCTCTTCCACCCTAGGTCGTCTTTGGTGTAAAACAATGCCCTCTGGTGTTTCACTGTACGCACAGTGAAGCACAGTGAAGATGACTAAAAATACAGAATCCAGTATGATCTCACCACCACTCTCTGAGAGGAAAGGCCCCGGGTTTGTTTTGCTAAAACCGACTGGGTTGAGATGGGGTGCACTGGGAAAGCAATCAAAAGTCATTGAGCATGACATGTGTCCTCTGAACAAACGTTACTGTGGCCTTGAGTTACTGACTGGTAAAACCTTCACTTACAGTGTATTACAGGGAAAAACTGAGAAGGTCTGAGAGGAAGGGAATCATTACAGTTTATCAACAGTGACAGTTTCCTATGGCTCTGAGGTGGAGCCTTCTCCAACTGTGTGTGACAGCTGATTTGGGTAGGAAGTTGCCCTGTGGCCATTGACATGGATTACCATCCAGTGAGTGAGAAACATTTATTTATGATTTCATTTTCCTAAGAGCAATTTTGAGAAGCTTTACTACTATTTTTACACAAAATGTTAAGCGAAAAACCCTGTAATTTCTTATATTTTGCAATTTTAGTTGCTTTGTTGATTCATGATTAAAATATTGTATACTATAGATTTTTTTTATTGTATTCAATAGCAAGATAGGAAGACAGTGGGAAAACAGAAACATTTATACAGTAAGAGCATAGTGTGACTGCTATGATTTATGGTTTAGACCAGTGTTTCCCAAACTTTTTTTCTGGGGACCCATATTTTAAAAGTCACAAACCTTCGCGACCCAAGTCATGGGAAACATGATGCGGGACGACCCAAAAAAAAAAAAAATCTCTTGCGACCCATCTCGCGACTCAGCCTTTAGGAAACAGGGGTTTAGACCACAGTCCTTTAATACAAATTATTAAGGTCCACAAAGACTTTCAACAAGTCAAAGGTCATGTTGGCGCAACATGGTCACACACATGCACCCGACGTTATACATATATATATATAAAGATAATAATAATAATCCATCCATCCATTTTCATCCACTACAGGGTCGTGAACCTTCCTGCGGGGGGTGAGTCNNAATAATAATAATAATAATAATAATAATAATAATAATAATAATAATAATAATAATAATAATAATAATAATAATAATAATAATAATAATAATAATAATAATAATAATAATAATAATAATAATAATAATAATAATAATAATAATAATAATAATAATAATAATAATAATAATAATAATAATAATAATAATAATAATAATAATAATTCAAGACTGGGTAAAAATGGAGCATCTATCAGAATAGAGTATCAAGTTCTTCATTGGTACATGCTTTAAAAAAACAAGTGAAATGTTAGAAAATAAAAACCATTCTTGTCATTTAGCCTAATAAATAAAGCTTCAGCTGCAGAGGGAAATGACAGATTTCAGTTTTATAACATTTTTATTGCATTAGGAAGTCTGATGACTGTTTTGACCATCAATAATGTCAAAGAATATTATGATGGTGATGAGTACTTACGTAACATAGACATATAGAAATGAAACTCTTTGACCTCTTAGAAATAATTTAAACTTCAGGTGATTACGATTGACTTGTAAAATCTTATATTAGCCATTTATATTTTTAATTGATTTTGGATCTGGATCCAAACTCAGCAGTCATTAGCCGAGGGTGATAGTGACATCCTGTACAGTTCACCGGTCCATCACAGACTACGACTATGTACACTCTGGACCATCTTAACCTGATCCTGCATGTTTCTTTTAATGTGGAAGGAAGCTGGAGTACGGAACCACCAGAACTCCAATCAAACACTCATTTCATTATATGGCCTGTAAAATCATCGGCATAAAATACCTTCACCGAAATCCTATACAGTGCACATTAACAAAAGAATTGGAGAAAAAATGTATTCCTAAATGCATCCCCTAATTATAGCGAAGATGGATGGTGATTATTTCTGACGTCAGCCCTGAATCAGCATTTGATGTCAGACATTTTTTCCTTCAGTGACAAAATAACCTCTGCCATTACTCTAATTAAAAACCAAAGACAAAAGCACAGGAACTGACTCACAGCTTGGTGCATCTGCTCTTCATGGGGCCGATGTGAGTCGGAACCATTACTCAACCAGCACATCTGTTTGCTGTCTGGAGTCGTACCATTCAGCCTCTATATGATCCATATCATTAGTGGCCTCGTATGCAACGAGACGTGCTCCCTTCTCTGATGGGGGGCCGGGGTCAGTTTGTAACAGAAAAAATGTGACGATTGCAGGAGTGCCTAAACGTAAACATTTATTGTTTTCCAGAAAGCACAATCAATCAATCTGGCTGATGAGAACTTGAATGTCAGGTTCCATTCTAGTCACTGCCAGTCCCAAACACTGATGCAGATGTTCATCTGTCAATCTTGATCTCATTGGATTTTTCAGCAGTTTCATGCGTGAAAATGTTTGCTCGCAGATATACGTGCTGCCAAAAAGTGTGGACATCTTCATTGCGTGTTTTCTGATGTTAGGGTACGTGTCGTTTGGGAGGGCGGCATAGAAGTCAATGAGACTGTTGG